TAATTTATTTAATTTAAAAAATAATTAATTCAAAGATTAAATTAAAAGATTTTCATACAACTATATAAAGTAAAAAAAAAAAATTACTACAAAAATAGCCTCAAATAGAATAAAGACAAAAAAAATTTCCATTCAAATAGAAAAAAGATATAAATTCAGAAAAATGTAATTACAAAATAAATAAAAGTTTAACAAAAATTACACCAATTGTTATTACTCAATTTAAAACTTTTATCTATCATAATACCTTTAAAAATCAAAATATTTATAAAATTATCACAAGATCAATCTCAGTTTTAAAGAAACAAAAGAAGAGAAGAAAGAGAAAGGAAGAGAATAGAGTTAAGTCTACCCTCCTTCTATTACTCAAGTTTTTATTCTTCCTTCGTATATATAATTTATTTGAATAAGTTGTGGATTAGAGGTACTTACCAGGTAAATAATAAGCCAGCAGATATACAGCTGTCCTGACAACTATGTAAACTCGGTTGTCTGCATGAAGTAAACAAAATTAGCCAAAAGGCCCAAAACCTTTTGCAACTAAAAATAGATACGACCAAGAAATGAAAAGTCATATGCACAATTGGAGCTCAAATCAATACAGTTTGTTTCTAAAGTACCCAGATATGCAGCACCAGCATAAAAAACACACTGGTTTTCCTTATTAATGCGGAAAAAATGCCTCTTTCCACACGAAGCGCCCGACCACGACAACTCAATTCCAGATGCTAACCCATGGTGGATGTCCAGGTAGGAGAGGTTCTCGTAATTCTTCTCCAGTATTGGTGGTACAAGTGCCATTAGGTCAATACGGCATGAAGGTTTTAACTCATGTGGAGTTGGTGTTCCAATTTTCACATAATAATACCTTTTGCCTTCAGATCCAGGCCTATAAGGTGTGAAGAAAGAGCTGCCGTTAATGCAGGCTGGAGCTTCCACATAACGTGAGGCATTTACAAGATTTTCACAACTTATGAAAAGAATGCTCTCCGAATAATCATAAGAATATCCAAAAGACGTTGAGAAGTCCCAGGAATATTGAGGTATGGAGCAGCTCCCCTCCTTAACACTAGCGTCAGCTACTCGAATTGTTTGATTGTCATAATTGATTGCTTTCACGTAGAATTTTCCTGATTTAGAGTACAGTATTGTAAGGTTTTTCTCACATGAAAGAGGATATACTGGATCTGCAGTCTCTCCACAGTAAGGCGAATCTGTGTTTAATCTGAAAGGATAGCTAATATTCAAAATATTTCCACAAGAAGAAGGTGGACAGTAATGTTTATCTTTGGCACTGCAGGTCTCATGAATTAAGGCGAGAAGAAGAAAAAGAACAGCAAAGGTGAGGTCTGGTCTAGGCATGGTGGGGGGCAAAAGATGTCGATAACTTTTAGGTCTTTAAACAGAGTCTTGTGGTCCACAGAAAAATCACAATAACTTCTTGGTCTTAAAATAACCACACACAGACACTCTTCACCTCCACAAATGATATATATATATATTTTTTGTGGAACTAAGTAATTATGAGGGAAAGGATTACAAGTGTAGGATGGGATTGAAACTCCACACTACAGTATCAATCTCATGTGCTTAGCCTCCAGCTCCTCTTTTCAACATTTGACCACTAGACTTTAGACTATTATTATTATTATTATTATTATTGTTATTATTATTATTTTGAATGTGGGAAAGCATTGTCAATTAAATTGAGACAGTTGTACCTGGTCCCAGGTAACGACTTTTCTCGATGGCCTCCTTTTAGATGATTTTTAATTACCTTGCACCTAGACCTTGACTTTCTTGGTAATTTGCAGAGCATTGACCATGCCAATCAATTTTAGAATTTTGGGTACAAATGGATACATCACTTACCTCACCCACATTGCTTGAATTTTCTCATTGACCTTCAAATAATATGGGGGCAGGTCTGCTTCTGAGTTCTGATAACGAGAAGCATCTTGATGATGATGGTTTCTTTGAAGTTTTTGGGTATTGGTGTTTGGAAATTTGGAATGGGTCCTGTGAATTGATTTAGGGGGGCAGATAAGATATTGCTTGGCAGGTGAATTCAACACAAAAAATGAAGAAGCCAACGAGTTTAGGTTTGGTGGATTTGCTCGGTAATTGGCAGAGTATTATTAGGGTTTTTTTAATTTGTAATTTAAAGGTATAAGTTAACAATTTTTTTTGTGTTAATTATTATTAAAAATAAAACTTAATTTTTGTTTATTCAATGACCTAATTAAAATTGATGATAAATTAATGTCAATTTTTATTATTTTTAATATTAATTAATAATAAAAAGATATAATAATTACATATTTAATCTAACCTCTAAGCTAAAAAAGCTTTTATTATTATTATTATTATTATTATGATTATGATTATGATTATGATGGAATGCTTATCGGATGCAATGTTGATTTAGAGGTCTATGTTGACGCAAATCCATTTGATATATGAAAAAAAAAATTAAGAATGGGATTAGAGAAAATGGCAAGCTCACATAAATCAAAACAGAATGCTCACCCTCTTTGAAGTACATGATCACAAAATAAATCAATGAAATATTGACCTTTTCAAAGTAATATCAACGCGTTATTCAAAGTCAATGTATGATAATATGGTATTAAAAGGTTAGTAGTAATCATAAAAGTAGCTTCATCAAAGTTAACTCCTTTATCTTTTCACAAATAAAAAAAAAAAAGAAACTTTTTCAAAGTTCAATTGGCGACTATCGCTGCAAAATGTAATCTTTTTTTTTTTTTTTTTGAAATTTTGGCATAAATCAAGACATAACTTCCCAATTTGCTTGATTTTTTCACACGGTATCAGTTTTAAAGTCAAGTCAACCACTGAATACAAAATTACAGATGAAGGACCCTAGATCTTTCCAATTGCTTGATTTTTCTATGTGCTTTCTTTACACAATTTAAAAGTTAAAATCACTAAATTCCCAAAAAAAATTTACAAACTTAGCATATTTAAGGCCCATCCAAAATGGGCTAAAATCCAGCCCTTACCTACAAACTACTTAATAAGGGCCCATCTATCCTAACTGGCCCATTACATCCCCTCATCTTGCCTTTGGGCTTTCAAGAAGTTGCTCAACGTTGGGGCTTCATTCATGCACTTCTCGCACTCTTCGCCTCTTTGGTTAGTTTCTACGTGCAATCCTCCTCAACCAACAATATGAAGATCCAGTCAATGATTTCCTCTGGCCAGCCTCATCCTCCACCATCTCCTCCATTTCCTTCTCCGATCTCAACACCACCGAGGTATGCATATTTCCCCCACCCCAATCCTAATTATCTCATCTGAAAATTGAAGTTCTT